TAAGGAATGAGACTTATTCTAAATTAAAGCTCAAAGCTTTCTCTTTAAAATGATGTATAATAATTGTTGGGTTGGATTGGAAAAATATTGGGAAAAAAAATGTTGAAATAAAACTTACATTTTCGTATAACCTAAAAGTGCCAAAAAAGATGCTAATTTAAAAATTCCTGGAAGCCGTATTTATTGAAATTAATTTTGTTGTCATCGTCACACGGGTTATTTTTTTATTATTATTTTGTAACCATGTACACGTCTTGTTTAATATTAATTTTTAATTAATTAACTATTTTAACTTAAGTAAGGTACTTTCATTATATATAATATGGATTGAGCCAACGAGAGAGATAGCTTGCGCAAGGTGATCGAACCGAGATAGACATAAACAACTATCAATTAGAAGTAACATTTATAATACTTACACGTGATGTGAAACTGTATTATCGCGAACTGGCTGTGACACAACAAAACGATAAACGTCAAATGTCAAACGTCAAATATATTTATCATTTATATTTACAATATGAAGATATGTCAGTCGTTTGACATATCAATTGATACACAATCTATTAACATAAAGTCTATTAACACACATTTGGTAGAAACAATTCTATCTAACGACAGGTAATTGTCGTTATGCATTGATAGCCTAAAAAATAAGGTTTCCATCCGAAAATATGTTGTAATCTCAACAAGTTTAGTGAAAATAACTTTTTATTTAGTGCGTGGGTATAAATTAAACAATTTGACGTTAAATCCAAAAAAGAAACGTCAAATCGCAACTTTAAAGTGATTTTTCGGTAAGTACTACACTTTTCCGCACTTTTTTTTATCATTAACACATATTTTGAGTCATTTCCTACCGATTAAAAAAAAAATCATCGATTTTTAAGATAATTATTCCAAAATTTTTAGAAATCCTTAACGGTTTGATCTCAATGGTTGTCGAATTCGGTTTTGTACCAAAATCCAACAGGATTTATTACACCCAAAGATCTAACCCCCCATTTTTGACATTAATGGCTTACAACTTCATTTTAAAAACGTCCGATTACGACTGGTTACAAAAAAACATTGAGTATTTAGAGTTCGAATTAACATTTTGGATCAAAAATAGATCAATCGTGATCGAGAAAGATAAAAAATTACACACGATGTTTCGATATTCCGTGAATTGTTTCACTCCGAGACCGGAAAGTTACAAAAGCGATATGGAATTGGCCGAGGAGTTGGATGGAAAAGATAGAAAGAAATTTTTTAAGGAAATTAATTCGGCTTCGGAAAGCGGATGGGATATTTCTAGTCGATGGTTAAACGATGGCGATGTTTTAGATGTTAATGTGAGTCGAGTTATCCCGGTGGATTTAAATTCCTATCTTTATAAAAATTTCGTTTGCATTTCAAAACTTTTTAATATGTTGGGAAATAATTCGAAAAGCATCGTTTGGCGTAAAAAAGCGAAAAAATTACATCTTGCAATTCGAAAAATTTTATGGAACGAAACCGAAGGGATTTGGTTCGATTACGATCTTGAGTTAAATCGGAGTAGATCTCAATTCTATTTAAGTAATTTTACCCCGTTATGGGCTGGAGCTTTTCCTACGAGGTTAAGATACGAATATGGATATTACGCGTCGTTATACATAGATAAATATGATTTAATCGGGAAATATAAAGGGTGTATCCCGGATTCTTTACAAGAATCGTTCCAACTTTATGATTTTCCGAATAGCCACACTCATTTACTTGTTATGGTTATTGAAGGATTAAAAAGTTCTTTGCATTTGGGGGCTATTAAGAAATCTAACGTGATTCTTGTGAATTGGATGGACGTTGTTATGTCGTGTTGGGCTGAAACGAATAGCATCTTCGATACTTACAACGTAAAAGAATTTGGGCAACATACCAGTTATACGGAGTGGAGTGAAGATCATACCGTTACAATCGGGGCTTTTTTAAGTGTTTTAGACAGTTATTACACAATTTCAGAGCGATTTATTTCTAACGAGAGTTTTGGAAGAAGATTGAACGCTTTGTGTTTTATTTTTAATTTTATCGCTTATGTTGTTAAATGACATAAATTATTTGATTGCAGTTGAGAATATAAAAGGAGGAATAAAGTTTTTTTAACAAAATTTTTTGATTAAATCAACAATAAGGATATAACCTCAAAAATATTAATTTTTGTAACATCCTATTCAGAGGGAAATTAAAATGTCAAGTTAGCAAAAATTTGTATTAACAAACACTGTTCCTGAAGTAATTCTAAACAAATTTTGTTAACAAAATTTCTTGATTAAATCAACAATAAGGATATAACCTCAAAAATATTAATTTTTGTA